GTTTACACATCTTTGTGACATCAAAGTATGAACACAAAGTAGAGACTCTTTCTTTAAGTTTCCGTATTCAGTCGTAGGAGCAGCCAAAGGAAGCTGGAAGCGTGATGTCTAACCTTAGTGCCTTTTCCTTCATTCAGTAGCGCAGCACGTGAGGTTGCTAGGCTGGAGGTACGTGGAAGGACCCCCAACCAGTCTTTCCGGTTACACCGCTCCAGCCCACTGGCTGGAGCATCGGGTTGAACAGCCTGACTGCAAAGTTGGGTCTATTTTCTGTCTGCAGTGCCTGAATTCCACCCCGCGCCCGCTCATTGGCGCAGCTGCAAAGTGGGGGGAGGAGAGGGTGGAGAACTTGTTTCCGAGCAGTTTTGGCCTCATACAATGAAAAGCTTTCTTCCCGCTAGGAGAAACTCCCACCAGGAAAATCTGCAGCTACTCAGTCCTCTCTTCTTCAAAGTAGGCTTTACTGATTGTGAAGAATGTTCTGACTTTTTTTCAGTAATAATTTGCTCTTCCATTGCACCTTCTAGTTGGGACCTTCAGAGCACTTTATTTGTATTAATGCAGTCTCCCCACCAAGTTGTGAGTGAGGACAGTGTTTTTTCATCTTGCTGATGGAAAATGTGTCACAGCAACAGAGTTTAGAGTCAGTCTTTTCGCACAGAGGTGCTTAAAGTTGGCTTCTTACATCTGTGTTTGGGACATAAACCCAAAGGGTCTGATTTTCAAATATTCAGCAACTGTAAAGCAAAGTGCCCTGATTGTCAAGATCTAAATAGGATTTTGGAAGGGGACATGCAGGCTTGAAGACTGTAGCTTGTATTTCCTGTTTTCTCTGATCATTCAGTCATAATTTCTTCCCGAGAAAATGTTGCCTTTTTAGCAAGTTGGAGAGGGTGCTTGTCAAGGTAGAGTCCCAGTTGTTGGTGATCAGGCTCTTGGAAAGCTAAATATCACTACGTTTGTAATAGATCCACCACTGGGATCTTTTGCTGTTCAGTTTTGTTTTGGTTGTTTTTTTTTTTTTTTTGGTTAAAATGGTAAGTTTATTTTTAGTATTTGTTTTAAATGTGCTTATGTGTATTTTCTTTTAAGGCCAGACCACTTGAATGGACACATCAAACAGGTGCATACCTCAGAGAGACCTCACAAGTGTCAGGTAGGAGCTGAGGGGGTTTAGACTGATGTATGGGTAATCTTCAGCATTGTATTTGTGTGTGCAGTTACGAAGTATCAGTAAAAATACCATGTGTGTATGAGTTGGGATAAATGTTTGTCAATAACAGTGTTCAGCAGTGACAGCTGCTTTACATCCCTCCCGTCCCCCAGCCCCTCATGTCATCTGCAGCTTTGGCCCTCCTGCCTCCCTGCCCTTCTACCAGATGTTCTTCCCTACTGCTCTGTCCCAGTCTCACCCTGGATCTCTTACTCAGCCACCTTGTCCCTGGGCTTAGAGGCGATGTCACCAATGATTCCCTCCACCCCCAACCCCCCTTTTTTTTTTTAATTGCAGTTATCATCAGGAGGCTCCAATGCTGACTTTTTTTTTTTTAGAATAATTTCAAATAAAATTGGTAAATTATCATAACTTGACAAGATACTGTTTTATTTTTTTATCACATACCTTCAGAACATTGCACTGAGCAAAATTGGAAGCTTTTTTTTTTATCCCAGGGAGAATATAAATAACAGCATCACAGTATTCTTTGTAATACAACGTCATAATGGTGTATATAGTTTTTTACAGTTTATAAATTACTCGTTAGGGTTTGAAAGATCAAATAAACATATTTTGTAACTCATTTGTAGAGGGAGATAAAAGGTGCCTGGAAGTATTCATTAAAACAAAAGTTGAGAATCAGCTTCCACTGTCATCCACTGCCTTCACATAGTTGTTGGGCAAACTTCTAAAACATTTGTTGGGCTAACAGTCTCTGTGCTTGGTCTCTGAAGAAACATTTATTTAATTATTTGTTTAAGGAAAGTTGGAGCAAGGTAACTTTAATTTTCTTTGAAGTCAGTGAAGGTTAGAGGATTTTTTTTCTTCTAAAATTTTTAACCACATCTTATGAACCTAGTCAATCCTACGTGACTACTGCCTCCTGATCTGTGTTTTTTTCCCATCTCTGGACACACCTTTCCTATGTTTATTCCAAATTGTGAGAATTTTGAGACTGTTTTGCTACTTTAGTAATCCAGTGAACAGTTTATAGAGCCATGTAAAGGTTTCTGTTGACCTCCATGTGATCTGTGGAAGCCCAGCACCTTTGAACATCAGGCCATAGAGCCTTCACATTGATTTAACTCCACATCCTATATAAAGCCTTAGATTGGTTTAAGATTCTTAATTTAGGGCTTATAGATTTATATAAATTGGAAAATTCCACTCATAAAAGGACTTCACAATTTGGGGATAGCAAGGGGTCTGGGTGGATGAACTGAAGATGACTACAAATTTTTTCCATAAGCATGTGTTTGTGTGCAAGTACAAAAATGGATGTTTAGGTCCCAACATAAACAGAAACTCATCAGTCTTTTGCCAATTGACATCAAGACTACTGAACAAACACAGTTTATTAGTAACATTGGTAGACATGAATTATCCTTTGCCAGCTGATGCCTCATTATTTTTTTATAGTTTTCTGGTTGATTTAAGAATATTAAATGTGAACTCTGTAAGTGTGAATCCGAGGATACACTGGGAGCTAGAAAGTAAAGAAATACGGAAGCTAAGACTGTACAACCAAGCTCAACTCTGTCTCCTTGCACACATGTATTTTATGATAGCAATATCCAAGAACAGTCTTTCCCATTGTGTCATGTCTTAAAGTGCCATAATACTGTATGCACTGTTCATTTCAGTTAAAAGGTACAGGCTATAGGTTACAAGCATCAGGACAGAGCTGAGGTTGTCATTCAGGCTTGGTTTGTTCTTGATCTTTGATTGCTTAACCCTGAAAAGTTATTTTTTCATGAATCTTAAGGTGTAGAAAAATGGTTGAAGAGCTGTTGTGTGTCTTTGCAAAAAATAATTCATAATATCCTGTCAGGTTTAGAAAGTCTTCTTAAATATGCACAGGTCTGATATGCACAGTACAAACCACGGAAGGGATGCTATCGTGCTGAAAATTTGTTTCAAATCTGAAAGCTGATGCATAAATTGATAAAGTTCTCCGTGTGATTATCTCGTAACCAGTAACACTTCTGTGCCAGGATGTGTATCTAAACACAGAATCTGGCGTCTAAGGAGGAAACCAGCTTAATATTGGCATGTTGTTTCCCCATTTTCCATTCTCTTTTTCCATTGATTTTGTTTGGCAAATTAGCTCCCCAGGAGAGTAGCCTGCACAGCATTGAGCATCCCTTTTGAATCTGTTAAGTTCCTGTTGGAAATTCCTGTTATTGTTATGTTTTGTTTATGTTTACTGCAAAAAAGAAGTATTCTGTCAGTAAACAGAAAAGCTTTCAGAATCCTCTATCATAATGGCATTCTTGGAAGTTGTGCTTTGTTATGATTTCAGCAAAATCCACTGGCCATTTAACTGAGCCCTCATGTACCTTTGCAAACCAGTGGGTATCTAATGTTTTGTTGGTGTGGCATCATGGTACGTTTTGAACTACCAAAAGAAAAACGTGAAGGTGTCAACCCAACTTCAGAATAAATAAAATGAAGCTATGAGAAGCAGGACAACTGTAAGCTAAACATCACTGTAACAGCTATAGTTTTCAGTGCTCAGCATGTAATCCTGCACTCATCCTGCTAAAATAATGGCTGATCTTCACAGATCTTTGAAAACTATCCTAAGTTCTGTAGGATAGCAGCTGTAGCACCTGGTGCCAGACAAAGACCTGTTTCCAGCCTTTTCATTACTGTTAAAATAGACTCAGAATAGGGAAGGCCTCCACAGAGCCAAGTAAGCAGCTGAGAAATTGGATCCAAAAAGTTGCTTTGATGTCCAGACAAGACACCAAATGGCACTCTGGATCTTTTCCGTGGGCTGTGGCACTGGTTTTGGGGGTTTGGGGCTTTTTTTGGTTGACTTTTTTTTTTTTTTTTTTCAATCTGACAGTTGAGTTCTGGATGTAGGAGGAGGGGTAAGTCAGTTTTCTGGCCATAATGAATAGCTCAGTTTGCTGACTTGTCATGGGTGAACCTGGGTTGTTGCCTTTTGAGCATGAATGGTATGAAAGTTAGGCTGCAGTTTGGGAGGAAATGGTGATCTGAAAATCTGTGGATGCAAAAGAACAAGGGGAGAAAACAGAAGTTTGCTCCTTCTCAGAGGCAAGAGACAGGTTGTTCTTACGGCAATTTCAATAAAAAAGAGAAGAATGCAGGTTAAATTAAAGCACAACTTTTGACAAAGAAAAAGATCTATTTACTTAAGTAACCTAAAATTGGCATCCCAAGCCCAGTGCTTTTCCCATTGATTTCAATGCAGAATGAGTTTCTTCCTGTCCTAATTTCTCTTACTTCCTGCCTATTAGCAGGAAAATGGCAGCCACCATGGAATAAGCTCAGAGACATCCACATCCATAGAAAAGTTGAAACTTCAAGAGGTATTTCTTAAACAATGTTTTTTAAACTTTATATATATTCTTTTTAATCTATTTATATACCTGTGCAATGTTTAATAGGAAAGCACTGAAGAGTTTTCTTCTGTGATTAACAATTAATGATAAATACTTAGCACTCATTTAGCACTTCACATCTTTTGTAAAATAAAACTTTTTTTTTTTTGCTCTATACCTTTTATAAATATTAACTATTTGAATATTAACTTTGGGTTTTTCTTTAAACCTAGTCCTGTCTCCCATTGTTATGATTCAGCTAAACTGGTTCTTGCTTTCTCCACTCGACTTAATTTTTTTTTTTTTTTAAGCTTCTTTGCAGATATATTTACTATATAGCTTACCCAAAGGTGAACTTTGCACAACTCAGCAGCAAGAGTGAGAAATCAAACACAGAAATGATAATATTGCCTTTCCCTAAGCTTTCAACTTGATAAATTCAATACGGGACAGATACGGTTTTACTTCTGGCATCCCTGTATCTATGTGATTTGTCTCTGGTCTGCTTCAACTGGTTCACTCCCAAAGCTCTTGTATGGGTGCTTACTGTGGCTCAGTATTTTTAGACTTACTGATGATGAATCTCTAGGCTGTCATCCTTGATGATTTGTTACGTATCTTTAGTTGATATCCAACAGATTGATTAGTATCACTGCTGGAATCCTGCCTTAAATGAGTGTTTACCTCTAAGAACATTTTAGTAAGTGAAAGCTGCACCTGTTTTGCTCAGCGCTGTGTACTGAGATTTCAAACAAAGAGAAATCTTTCATGTTCAAGAATTTGCCTCTTAATCTTCAGTAGTAATTTATAAATCTGTCTGGTGAGCTTAGTTAAATTGTGTGTATTGCAGAAATCCAGATAATTTTACTGTTGTCTTTTTAAGTTCATTAAGTCCTGATCCTCTGAGGTGCTAAGTCTTGTCCTTGCTGCAGAGTAGCCTCAGCTCTATGGGAGTTTATCATACTTCAGCATCTCACAGGATCGAGTGAGTGTAAAGCCTGTTGAAACTGATAGGTACTTTTCAGCTGCCTTCAATGTTGTTTGGATTAAGCTCTTAATTAACTAAATTATATAAAATTATATGGGTTATCCTCTTCTGTATGATCCCTTTCACTTATTTGAAGTTATACTTTTGAAATTTTACTAGGATTGTCAATTTTAACAAGTCTATCTCTAGTGAAACAGTTGTTTAATTACATACCAATACTTGAAAAGACAGAATATATCCAGTTCCCAAGTCACTTAATAGCCTCATATTATCTCTTAGGGGGTTCTGGTATATATGTTTAAACTGTGTTATTTTGTGTAAAGGTGGTATAATCGAAACACTGTACACTCTTGAATGTCACTGTTGCCCACTTGGTCTGGTCATTCTAACGTGTGTTTGCTTTTGTTTTTCCTCTCTCACTTGTGAGCAATGCTTTCAGACTGTAACTTTAATAACTTGTACAGTGTATTGCTGGTGATTTATTTTCTATCGCATGTTAGAGATTAGAGCAAGCCCTTCAGAACTGGCAGGCTGTTGTAATGGGCTGTGTGCATAGTGTGCACGCCTGCCGATTGCTGTGAGTGTAAAAGGGAGGGAGCCTTCGCTCATCATATGGGTCATGTCTGGGAGGTGGGCAAGTAGAATCTATATTATCTTGTGCCAAATCAAGCTCGCTTCATGGTAGTAAGTGGAATATGATACCTTGAACAGGGGTAAGTTATAAACAGATTACAGTGTCATGCAGTTATTTTGATACCTGCTCAGTTCTGAGGCTTCACTTCTACAATTGGTCTGCACTGCTACTGTGGATACCAGGATGGCTCTTTGACTGTCTTTTGTCATGTTCTCATCCCAGCCAATTCTCTGATGCTTTGTTTGTATGTCTTCATACTCCAAAGGGATTCTGTGTACTGAAGTTAGATTGATCAGATCAAAGAGTAAAATTTAGGAAGATGACAGCGAGGACATTTTGAGTGGTCTAAAGTGATTGTAATGGCTCAATGAAATGGCAGAACTTACTGTAAATGGAGTGAAGTGGTTTGTGCTATTCCTGTTGTTAAATACTACTTAAAGCTTTAGTATCTTCATCCTCAGGAGCTTTACAAAGCTATCTTGATTTAAGTTTTACTGTCTGTAGTGTTAGAGCTGTTTTCTTGCTTTCTTAATTCTTTCATGTAGTTACATCACATCTTGTGCAGTGTGTTGGTGATCTGAATTTTTTTATTGTGGGAAAATGGCTTGTGCATCATGTCATTTGTGTGTTTGCACAGGATCTAAGGTATTTACTCTAAAGAATACTAAATATAGTCAACAATATCAGTGCTTTTAGCAGAGTTGATGAGTCACATGGTTCTCATTATACCTGCAGACTTGTAATGCTTCCTTTGCCACTCGTGACCGACTGCGCTCACACCTAGCATGTCATGAAGACAAGGTTCCATGCCAGGTGTGTGGGAAGTACTTGCGAGCAGCATATATGGCAGATCACTTGAAGAAACATAGTGAAGGACCAAGCAATTTCTGCACTATCTGTAACCGAGGTAATGAAGAAACTGTTTTTTTATTTCAGTGGGACGGGACAACACTTGAGGGAAGCTGTAAGGCTGTGTGACTGTCTGCAACAGGAGGAGGTTATACCGTATATAAGTACATATTCTTTGTTTTTCTTATTGAATACTTAACCTTGAAAGTGATGTGGCTATAGGTCTGGCCTTTTTACATGGCTGATAGTTCCTGAAGAAACTCAGTTTAAATCTGAAGAAAATTGTTTCTGGACATTTTTAAGAATTTTATTTGCTCAATAGCCAGATCCCTATACAATAACCATGATATGTTGCCTTGCTGCTATTCACCATACACCTTTTTAAATTGACATTTACACACTATACTTAAAAAAAAATCTATGTTATGCTATCAATCTTGCTTAACCTCCTGGTGCAGCAGAAGGGTCAAACTGCTTCTCCCTCTTAACCCAAGAAATTGCTTTGTATTAACGTGTATTTCTAAAAAAAATTTGTAGAAACGTGCTTTACCATTTTTTATACAAATACAGCTTTTCATAGAACCATAGAATATCTCGAGTTGGAAGGGATCTATAAAGATCATTGAGTCCAGCTTCCTGCTCCTCACAGGACTGCCTAAAACTAAACTAAACTCTATCACTTAAGAGCTTTTGAAGCTTTTCCATCTGTTTGTGGTACTCTTCAGTTGGAGAGAGTTGTAAATTTAGGCTTTGTGGGATGTAAGGCAAGCTGGAAGAATTTTGACTTATTGATGTCTTTTTTTGAATGATTAATATACGACTTCAAAATATGTTGTTGGCTCACACAGGCGTACATACCTAGTAAGTGTAGGAAGAGGTTTCTGCTGTGTTTTGGGATCTTGTTTTTTCTTTTTTTTTATGATGTGCGTTCCCTTTTCTAATTTAAGCGAGGTGAACTCTTTTGAGAGAACAAAGCTGTATTTAATGTGAGGACTCTACAGGGAGCTTTTGGATGACTAGGAGTTGATGAGTAATGAGAGCCATTAAATTGTGAGGGAGGCGTTTCTAGTAGTTGAACAGTCTGTTAGGTCCTGAAAGAGGTGTTAACAGTTTGGAAAAGGCATCTGGGTTGAAAATCTTCAGATTCTGAAGCTCCAGGTAGATGGTACGAAATGAAGCTTGGCCTCCTTTTCAGATGAAGGCCTATATTCTGTAAAACTGCTTAAGCTTATCCTGATTCTTTTTGTGGTAACAACATGGAAGACGCAGTCCAAGATGCAGGTGCTATCCTGCTCTCCTTCAGTTGAACATGGTGCCAAACGGAAACTCGTATGGATTAGGAGGAATTGTCTTGTTTCCAAGATCTGTAAGCTTGAGTTTCAACTTAACTACCACTGGATGTCACTGCAGCTCTTTCGAAATTCATCCAGCATGACAAAGGCAGATCTGGCATTCAAACAATGAAATGACTTAATGGTTTATTCACATTTTACACGTTTAAATGTACAGTGGAAATTTAAATAAAATACATTTCTTTGTAGAAGGATAGGGAACCTGTTGTACGGCAAACTTTAAGCAACTACTTTCTCCTCAGTTTGTGTATTTCATGTGTGTTGTCAGAATTTAGGCTGCTGTGAATTTCAGTTTACATCAGCACTTAGAAAAGATAATTAACCTGGTGAATTGTTGTTAAATATCTACCCAGTGTTAAAATTCATAGGAAAGGGAAGTTACAGACTGGATTTGTCAAACAACTGTGTTATGAACTCATTGTTGAAGGCTGTGAATTTTTAATTATAAATTTATGATCCATGGCAGCAGAATTTTTAATCCAAAGTGTTCTAGAATCAAATTGTAATGTTCATTGTTTAAATTAGATATCTTTGAAAACTGTAGAGCCTGGCAAGATGAAGTATAGTGGAAAATTTCTGGATTAGAAACATCTGTTTGATAGGCATTGGTGCAGAAGCTATGCACCGTCCCCCCGACTGTTGTGCTGTGGCTCTGGTGGTTGTGTGCAATGGGCTTTTGTTTTGTTCTTCCCTCAGCTAATGTGCTGTTTAATTGGAACTTAGCTAGTTCTGGATATAGGAATTGTCAAGCTCTGGTAATTGTAAAGCAAGAATGCTCGAACTGTTTATAGAGAAAATTTTGGATGTTGGCCCACAAAAAAAAAAAAAAAAGTAGATGAAAAGGTGACTCTTACTTAGTTGAACATATCCTAGTGTTAGACAGAGCTTAGCATCCCTCAGTTTATGCCATCAGACTGAAGGCTTTTCTGTGGAACTTAAGCAAATGTCTCACGTTTAAGGAGTTTAGGAGATGGGGAACTCAGTACCTGACTGAAAGCAGTAGCCGCTGGTTTGCCATGTCATGTGTGGACCCATTTGCTGATTTTATTTATTTATTAATTTTACAAAATGGCAGTATAATGTCTGAAAATTACCACCCGTGATCTGATGTTTTTTCCAGGTTATTTTCTTACTTACGGTCTTCATGCTTAGAATAATTATGGAAGCAATTAAATCTTGTTAAATCAGGGAAGCTGTGGAATGAGCTTTTTTCTGGGTGGTTTTTTTTTTTTTAAGAATTCATCTAAAATGTGCTTATGAAAAGGAAGCCTCAATCCTCACTTTTTAAGACAAATTCTCTTTAATCAGTTTAAATAAAAAAAGCCCTGCTACTGCTTTGTTGTTACACAATCTTCTGTTACCATCCTTAGGAACTTTATTTGCTTGTGCAGACTTTTTCAGAGAACCTAAGAGATTAATGACTTTGGCAAGTCTGGAACGGGTACTTTGTAATAACATGTGCAACTCAGAAGATTCATTTTCTGTTTCAGACACATATGCATTGTTTGTTTCACAGAAATAAGTTAGGAGAAGGGTAAATATTCCAATCACAAGTTAGATGTTTTGGGTTTTTTTTTAATAATAAGATGAATTCTTGTATATTTCATGGTGGATACAGAGTTGATTAAAGCAAGACACATTCTCCGGATGTTCCAGCTAAATCCAAATTTTTGAAAAAGGAGCATCCTGCAAAAATTTCTATAGTCTGTCTCCTTATAGATGTTATCTTAAGAGATCAAGGGATAGGTCCCATTTACATAAAACAGATCATTTCCTCTCTATGCATATTTTTAATGTTGGTTCCTCTGGTATGAAGAAATAATCTGCTCTGCAAAGCTGAGATGTGTATGGGTAAAGCAATAAATACATTCCTTCTTTGAAAAATACTGCCACTTTATCCTCTGCATTATCCAGACTTTGTTTTTAAAGAGATTTTTAAAAGTAAAGGATTATTGTCTATGAATCCCCCATCTTCCTAGGACAGGCACTCATAATTAAGGTCTGGTGGAAAAAAAAAAAAAAAGGGCAGTGCTAAGTGCTTCAGAAAGAAATTAGGATAAAAACAAACACACAAAAATCTCACTTTCCTGTGAAGCAGTTGGCACTCTTACTGCTTTGATGGAAGTTGATGACTCACATGTTCATCTGCCAAGTGCATAAAGGGGAGCTAACACACTTTACAGGCAGTTCTCATTATACAAAACAATGTACTCTACAAATAGAATTGCAGAGTTCAGAAAACATATTGTGTAGCAGAGATTACAACTTTCTGTGTCAACTATATTATAGAAAAACACTGAATACCTGTATGCAGTCCTTTTTTAATGGTTGACAGTGAGATTTTAATGCATTGGTACATAAAGAGGCTCATCTCAGCATGCATGTATGTGGTTACTAGACACATGTATGAAATAAGGGAAGTACTTTGTAGCTGGAAGTATCGCCATTATATCTGTACATTGTGTCTTTCTCTCTATCAGTCAAACACTGGTTCTTTCCATGTCTACAGTGACTTTTTGGTATTTGGAAAACTATGTTCTCTTGTAGCCCAGTGAGATTTTCAGTACAGCATTTTGTGTCTGAGTGTAGGTCTTGCATTATTTCAGAGGATAATATCCTTGCATTAATTCCCTGGATGACTGAGCCTAGATGTTTCTGCTCCATTGTGTTTTGAGAGTCATATGTTCTTCATTTCTTCAATTGTGCTGTATCTGCTTTTATCTGCAACTCAGGGGTCTACATTAACGCTCTCTTGTTCATTCTCAGCAACCTGCCCTTTTTCCCCTTCAGCAGGTTGCTGCAGAGTTCTGTCTTGCTCTACAGGTCCTGTATATATAATTCTTAATAACCCCTGAATACTCTTTGGTCCTGGCTTCTAAGAAGAGTCTGGGTAGAGGGATATTCTCTTGGGTGGGCACAGGGAATTCTAGCGTAAAGCCACAATCATTATTAAATTCAGCACCTGAAACTTAAGAGCTGCTGTCAGAAAACCCAGCCTAGAGAAGTATTGCCAGTATTGGTTTTGCATCCTTCCTAATATGTTGTTATATGTCATCAAATGTGAATGCAGTTATGTCACTATAAAAATGGCTTTACAGTAGTGTATCTGTGGATATTTAAAGTGAAGCATTGGTATGAAAGTTCTCTTGCAAGGGCTGTAAATGCTGTATTGGTTTAAAAAAAACTAGGTCTTGTGTTTTCTCTATCCAGCAAGGGAACCTGGAACTCTGTGTCTGTGATGGTGAAACTTGTGTGGTGTTCTCAGTTGTTAAAGGAAAATGTTTCGAACGTGAAAGTGCCATAATATTCTGTGCAAAATATAATAGAAAATCAAGATGGTTGTTGATAGGCTTACCCGTGTAGGAAGTCTTTAAAACTCTGTCCTCCTTGTGCCTCATATATGGTCCAAATGTACCAGTATTAGTTACAAATCTTATTAAAATTTGAATTTAAGAACATTCCAGAGTATATGTGAGAGAATTTACTGCATTAAAGGAAAAGGCCATGTTTGTGAGACTTCAAAAACAATTTTGAAAAGCACATGAACAAATGTAGAAAACTGTTTTGTTCAGAAACCAGTTGTTTGAAATACATGGTTTTAATTCAGTGGTTTGAGCTTACAGATCAGAGCTAAGAGAAATGTTGAAATTTCTTTTTAATTTTTATTTTTTTTAACTGCAGACAATATATGAGTTTCAGTATGTTTTTTAAAACTCAGGATGAGCTGAATAGAGGAAATGTTTTTCAAAAATTACTATAGGAAAAAATTGTATACCTTAAAAACTCAGTATTTTTATCATTCTGCCTTCTAGGAGTCATTATAAATGCTAGAAAAGTAAAGCAAAAGCACACTAAATACCAAAGAGGGGTGTTAATAAACAGCATTCCTTCAGATCTTAAGAGCATAAAATAAACTAATTGGTACTGTCTTCCAAAGTATTATCAGATGATGAAGGTGTTTTAATTAAAGTAAACAAAACAGCACAAAAATGGTGAAAGACATGGGTGCCTTTTTGTATCGTGTCCTTTCTGCCTTTTTTTCCAGAAAATTTCATGTCATCTGCTAGGTTTACTTACCTAGGATTTGTTCCTCAGGGAAGCTGTTCTTTCATCATGACTTCCAGAAAGCAAAGGAAGTCTCATGAAAGGCACGCATTGTATTCACTGCCTGATTATGTCTAGGAGTCCTACTTGAGCGTGGTGTAGGTAACGGGAAATCAAGCTAGTATAATGGCAACTTTGTAATAGGGAGTAGGAGCAAGAGAGAGCGTAAAAGAACAGGGAAGGCAGATGTGTGTCTTTGCTGGTGGCAGGATCTCATCTCCTTTTATCTTGTTTAGGTTTCTCCTCTGCCTCCTACTTAAAGGTCCATGTTAAAACCCACCACGGTGTTCCCCTTCCCCAGGTCTCCAGGCACCAGGAGTCCATCCCGAATGGGGGAGCAGCGTTCCACTGCGTCAGGACCTATGGCATCAAAGGCAAGAGACTCGCTGCTCTGCACCTTGCTGCTCTGTGCAGAGCTTTGTGTTGTGGGATGTTGGGCTGGGCATGAGAAAGGGGAGGGAGGAAGGACAGGGAAAATACTGGAGAGAAACTTAGGGAGTTGCAGAGAAATTACGTAGCATCACATAGTATGTAATATCTGTCCTTGGATAGCCGATTTAGCAAGTCTGGAAGGAGGTGGACACGTAAGGGTACGTGAATTTTTAGCAGCTTTGATTTGAGAGATTGAAAAAGCCATGTTAGTTCTTCTTGACCATCTTCCTAGGAGCAGCCAGTATTTGAATTTTGCCTGAGGGATGCAGATCCTTGACGGTTCCTTAGTCCCACTATGCGTGAATCTCGCGTCAGTCAAACCATCTTTCTGATTTCCAGTGAAAGAAGGGGGAGCCACAGAATGCAGCTCATAAAGATTCATGAGCGGTGAAAGCAATATTCGTCCTCAGGTTGATGAGGGGCGTGCAACTATCTGTAGTTAAACTTACACTTTCTAATGCTGTGGTCGGGGAGAAAAGGTAGAAAGTGATAATAGTACTGTTACTTCTTTGGTTCTTAACTTGCATTTAACTTCGGGGGGGGGGGGGGGGAATAGATACTGTTGTAAGAATAGCTAAATATTTAACTTCTGAATATGTAAAGCTGTGTGTTAATCTATGTAGAATAGCTTGCTTTTTGCTTGTCGGTTTGAGCTGTCAGTATTCCTGGTGAAGCTGAAACATCAGAAAATTCTTCAAAACTATCGTTGTCCCAAAAAGTTGTGTTTTTTTCTTGCCCGGGAGAACACAGCAGGCTGGGTTAAACAAAGTCTGTGCCAGCAGAAAGCTACAGTTGTGTAATTTTTCTCTGTTGAAGTCCTGATAGAGTTACTACAGAAGGCGTTTGGGTTTGGGTGGTGTGCTGACTTAACAAGAGATTTACTCCAGCTCAGTGGTGTATTGATTTCATGCATATCCTGTTTGGTTTGTAATGCCAAGTCCAGAGCAAATCTGTCTTTTGGGTTGTGCCAAGTGGCTCTTTGGTCTTTTAGAGTTAATAGAAGATACAGCTTATTTACATTCAGAGACTTGTTTAGGGAGTATGTCTGGGTTTCCCACGCTCATTCATATGCGCTCAGCAAAAAGTGTGGACAAACTTTCTTGGCATAATGCCAGAGGAGAATGGGGAACACTCCAACAAACCAAGGGCTTTGCCAGGATATGTATTCAAATGACTTAAAATAGTGTCCCTAACCTCTCTCCTGTCTCACGCTACAGTATTATAAGATGGAACAATTTTAGATTAGGAAGTTCACTTCTTAACTGTGTTGCACTTAACTTGCAAAAAGGAGTTCCTCGGGACTAAGTGGAATTGCACTTCTTAAATTGCAGGAGCTCACTGCTGTTTTGCTGAGTATATCCAGGTTTCTTCACATCTTACTGCAGCCTGTTACACTTTATTAGGTTTCTAGCTCTTCCCCAAAGTATCAACATATTTGATAAGTGTGGGAGTGAATTGTGTAGTTAAAAACTCATCATTAGGTCCATCCTTTCATAGTGCTTGAGGTGTAAACACTGTGAGACATCTTCAGGATTCAAAAAAGTATTATATAAACCAGAGACCCATTATGGTTGCATTCAGTTTCACAACAAATCCATAATAAAAACCTGGCTGTTGCTCTGACAGCAGCCCAGTGATTTGTAAAGAGGACCTGTGGTCAAGGGCTTTAGAATATGAGGGATTGTGATGTTAAGTGTGTATGTTTCTGTCGTGACAGGCATTAATGAAATCAGGTGGTAACCAATGTAACCTATCTTAACACATGTTAAATGCTTTTTTTTTGGGAGATAAGATTCTGAAAACTTCTCTCTTTTCTTTTTCCCATAGAAGGCCAGAAATGTTCACATTCGGACCCGATTGAGAGTTCTGATTCATACGGAGACCTCTCTGACACCAGTGACCTCAAGACTCCTGAGAAACAGAGCACCAATGGGTCCTTCTCGTGTGACATGGCAGTCAGCAAAAACAAAATGGAGACGGAAGCAGAGAAGAAGTACCCTTGCCCGGAATGTGGCAGCTTTTTCAGATCAAAGTCTTATCTGAACAAACACATACAGAAAGTTCACGTCAGGGCCCTTGGTGGTCCATTGGGGGACCTCGGTCCTGCTCTAGGATCCCCCTTTTCACCCCAACAGAACATGTCTCTCCTGGAGTCATTTGGGTTTCAGATCGTCCAGTCAGCATTTGCATCATCTCTAGTGGATCCAGAGGTCGACCAGCAACCAATGGGGCCAGAGGGGAAATGAGATCAGTTTGATCTTAACAAAGCAAAGCAGCAGTCTGGCTATAATGATAAGATGCTGTGAAAGAAAGAGGAAATAATGAAATTTGGTTCTATAGCTGAGAATTTTTTATTCATTTTAGCTTCCCTCTTTGTCTCATGCCCTACCCCACCTTTAAACCTTCACTGGGGAGAGGGAGAAAATGCTTCTTAGCTGATAAATTACAGAAGATGGTGACCTTGAATAGGAGACGTGATCTAAAACACCAAATGGAGCTTTAGAGGCTGCTACTGGTGTTTTGTCATGATCTTCCTAGAATAAACAAAATTTGCCAGCACTGATCTGAGAATTAGACAGTCCTAATGACCGAGGCACCTGGGGAGCTACAGCTACAGGGAGCTATGCTTTTGTTCTCTCTCTATTCCCCACCTTCCCTAACCTACCCCAGAAAAACAGTAAGTTTTAAAAAAAGACCCCTTATTGACCCATTATTGAATATAACATTAAGTAAAATGCCCTGTGGTACCTAGCAGGTTACAATGCAGTTGTCCTTTTTAAAACAGAAAAATTTAAAGAAGGTGAGAGAATTTGAACCCCTTCTGCCATTTGTGAGGCTGTGAGTGCTGCAGCAGGACTGAACTGCTGAGAAAAATCACCATTCAGAACAGGTTGTTTTTGTTACTTTTAACCATTAAATTTGCTGTCAGGTTTTTAATTCTCTATTATTATTATTTTAGGACCTGTTGTAGTGAATTGCTACTGAAAAGCCAGTCTAAGGCGATACACAGAGCACTCTTAAAGCAGCAGTCACATTAGGGTTAGTATTAATTTTTTTTTTTTTAGATGTACCATAATTGATATCTTGGCTAGTTGATTGTTTTAAGTCTATGAAAGAAATAGTTTTATGAAAAAAAAAAAAAAGAAAGAAAAAAAAAAGGAAGGAAAAATACCATTGCAGTCTGGTTGACTGGTGCTCATTTTTTCATGTGGGGACCTAGGGTATAAACACAATCAGCTATCGGGTTAACACTATGTACCACTGATTTGTTTAGTGTGAATAAACCCAGGGGTTCACAGAGTGATTTTGGTTTAATTGGACTCTATTAAAGAAGTTAGTATGTTACTTTGCATCCCCTCGTTTTGTCTGGTTTTTGAGCAATTCAGCCACCTGTCCAAAAAGGTGTGCAAATGAGAACCAGTAAATAAGACATTAATCTCACTCCACACTGTACTGTATTCTTGGTGAGCTGGGCTTTTTGGCTACAGTCACGCTCTCCTGATCTGCCTCTAGTCAGGTTTGCAAAGGCCAGTCTTAACTCCTTTCTTTTCCAAGGAAGAAGGGTTTCTGCTATAAGAGATGGGAATTGCAAACAGCATATCTCTGAAAAAGAATTGATTACAAAATGCAAAGAAGCTGGGCTCTAGGCTGTTGGAGGTGCCATTTAATCTGAAAATACCATTTGTGCAGAAATAATGTCCTTTCTTGACCCTCCCTTTCCTCCCATGTAACTTGTCAAGGTTTTATGTACCAGATCCAGGTATAAATGTTGTTTAACACAGGGTTAGGAGTTAGGAATACTCTGAGTTATAATTATGGTTCTGCTGTTGATGCTCAAGGTCACATAGGACAGCTCCCTGAATTTACTCCTTATTTCCCATCTGTGAAGAGTTTTCTCTACATCACAGTTGTGAGGGTTAATGAGCAAAGGTTTAAGCAGTGATTCAGTAAACTAAGTTGCTCTGTGTACTGGATGTTTCTAGAAAGGCCGCTGAAGAGCCCAAGTCCTACACCAAACTTGCATTCTATGAAACAATAGCTGTCTCCGTCATCAATACAGTGCTGGAATAGGATAGATGACCTCAGACAAGGACCTGCATCCTCTGCAGGAGATATGTCTGTGTTAAATGTGAACGTAGCCAAAAACTGCTGTTGTGCCACAACTTGCGCTGCCCAGGGGCTCCTAATCCAAACCCTGCATCTTATGCATAACTGAATTAAGACATATTCCTAGGGGGGGTTAATGTTAGAATTATAGAGCCTTTTGTAAGTATATGGATTTTGGAATAATATTCTAAATTCTACAGACTTAGAAGCCCCAGCTTCTCTCTTGTAAGAAGCTACTTTTCTGTACTTGCTCTCGAGTATTATAAACCAAGGATGAATAATCAATGGCTTTCTCTTTATAGCACCAGCACTTTCTAAATTGAGAGCATGTTGCAGTGGACTTGATGATTTGCTATTAATCTGTGTTGAGAGACTGAAGGACATGTTCTTCTCCATTCATCTTCCCCCAGAATCCCTGGAATAGGTATGAGTCTCGTTTAATAGGGGGGAAAAAAAACAAAACAAACAAACAAACAAACAAAAAAAAAACAACCCACAAAAAACCCCAAACGAACAACCCAAAACCCAACCCACCTTCAAACTAAAGCTTCATTGCTATTGCTGTATTGGTAAGCTTAGCTGACAAGTAGAAACAGGACATTTTGGAAAGGTAACAAAACATTTTAAAATACCTTACAAATCTAGACCATGCTGAGACAACCTTGTAAGCTGCCAAGCAAGTCAAGATTGAGCCGGCATTCCAGTCAGCATAGCAATTGATTGGGATTAGCAAATGCAACTGCAGTCACTCTGATTTACTAGTAGCTCATATTTAAGCCACCAGGAAAATGTCTATGGAATTGAAGCTGTATTCTGAAAGATAAGAAGTTTGTGTCCCTGATGTTCCTATATGCACTCAAAGAGGGTGCACTAGTCATAAACTTCAACTCCAAAAGCCAAGTCCAGAATATAGGATATTTTCATCCTACATTTAGCTCCACTGACGTTAGTGTTAGTGGTGGGTTCAATTTTGGCCATGTGTATCAGAAGTGAATATTGAACACTACAGAATGTGACCTGATGAAACAAATCAAAAGCCTTGAACTAAAAAGGAAGCCTTCTAAAACACTAACTGTGCATTTTGCTTGTCAAAGAAAATGCTTACTAAGTTGCCATGAGTCTATTGAATGAAAGCTACTTACTTCTCAGTCTAGTGGACAGGGAAACAATTAGGCAGGAAGTTAAAAATCCTGAAATAACAGTTCTAGATCATCCTAATGTAAATGGGAGAGATTTGCACAAACACAAGAGACTGGTGCAGACTAGTGCCAGCAGTAGGTTGGGCAGATCTTTAGCCATGGTGTGTTTTCAGAGCTTTTTGCTTCTTTGAGGGCGTATTGTTCCATTCTGGATAGTAATTTAATCTACATGCAAATTCTTTATATTCTGAACTTCAGGAAAGGCCTGCTTCTTATAGAATAGAAGACAGATCCAAACAGAAAACTCAGCCTCCTAAGTTCAGAGTTCAAAGCGAAGTACTTAACGTGCCCTGAGCTGCAACCTCACTTGTTTCTATTATATTTTTAATTGGCGTATCAGTGTATAGATGATAGTTCTCATTTTGGGCCAGCCCTCCTTTCCTTGTCATCCTCTTTGATGGTACTGCAATCCAGTGCAAACACTGCCAACAGCCAGTGCACTTTTCTGCCAAGAAGGGAACTTCAGTTCATACAAATTTAATCAGAGTTGTAGTATTTCTTTGTATTATACGAGTCCCCAAACCCCTCACTGAGGCTCAGGTGCTTGTGTATTAGGTATGATTAAAACATCTTCAACCATTTATAATCTAAACATTAAAGACAGACAAGAAAGGAATAGATGCTTATAGGTGAATGAGTGAAAGATTAAGGACTGAAAACTGCTTGCATGCATGCTTAAGTGTTGTGTTGAATGTAGGGGCACAGATTTATCATCAGGCTTCTGTTGTTGCCTGAATTTATCTTTATGTACTGTTAATCCACAACAACTGCAAGGTAAAGCAATTTAATGTGAGTTTATTCCATACTGAGTTAAATTAAGTGTCATTACCTTGCATTCATCATGTGTTAGATGCGTGTGATCGGACTTACTAGTGTGGCTCACCTGATGCATGGTAATGTGGTGCATGTGAGCTCTCAATCTTAAGTGGTTTGCCCATGATGACATGGGAAATTGATAGCAGAACCAGAAATTGAACACAGATTTTTCCTTCTCTCAATCCAGTGCCTTAACTGTAGTAGGGCAAAGTATTATATGTTGGGGGGGATGATTGTTTTGTTTGTTCTTAAAGCCTAGAACTATAAGATGGTGTGGAGTTGGTCTTCCTACCAATCTTTTGAATAATTGCAAATGCCCAGTCACAATTTTAGACCTGTTTGAGTGCCAGTGACTTAGGGAATATTTGTTATTTCCCACTTATTCCCTGAAATTATTGTTCCTCCTTGAACTGCTGTCAGCAGTAAGGAATGACTTGAATAGAAGAGCTGTGTAACTGAATGTCTATCTAACTCAACTAATTGAATTGATAGTATGAAAGCTAACCTAGATTTTGTAGGCTCTGTTGTAACTTTAGTGTCTTGTTTTTTCACTAAATCTTTGTTCCTAGAAATCAGTATCTGAACTTATGTCTTGAGTCTGGAGTGGGGTACCACTTTCAGCTTTAATTTTTTTTAAGGTGCTTGCTTGAGGAAGTAGATGCCAAAGTAAACTTCAAAGGAACTCCAGACTTCAGTGTTGGAAGAATGAATGGAGAGCAAGAGCTCTCTCTGGGTTTCATGAGGGATAAATGGGCAAAGTGAAAAACAGCTACCAAAATTTCTAAGTAATGAAACAGAAAAGGCTTTTCTTTATCGCCCACAAAAATAATCAGATATTTTCAATTGTTCAATGTGGCAGAAACTCTGAGAGCAAGTGCCAAACAAAATCTTGGAAAATGTTGGCTTTTTCAGCATCATGAATATACCTAAGCAGCATTATGGATATTTTAACGTAAATTAAGCCAGCATTGTACCACTCACTTTTTGCCTGGGCCCAGTACCTGAGTTTTAAATTAATAGAACATAAGCTCACAGTGAATGTCTGAGTTTATGCTCTTAGTTCCACCCCGAGAGACAAAACAAATGAGCAAAGAGGGAAAAAAACCCTAGGAAACTTAAAAGGGAAAACAGATTCTGGAAGATTCCCATGTCTCCTGAGAGAGTCCTGGTTTCTATCCTGAACATCCTTTTCAAAACAAGATCCTTCAGCTGTTGCGAATGAGCCTTTGGGAACAGATTTGGCTTTCAGCCCAATCTGTTGCTCCCTGTCCCTGTGAGAAGGCAGTGTGATCTGGAGCACTGAGCCTGGGACCCGGAGGGAGACGGTGCTCCTGGGCTGCAGCCTGAGGCCACGCTTAACTGCTGCAGAGTCAGCAGCAGCAACATCAGCATCGTGTCTTCCTGCCTGCTCCCTTGACACCTTCACCCTCCGCACATTCCTATGCCAGTGTAGTACCTTACTCAGATATGTACAGCTCTGGAAATAACTGTGTTAGCTCTAAAACAAACCAGCGAACTATTTGGCTAGAGAGAAAATCAAAAACCACCAAAGACTTATGTGACATAACTGCAGAGTGGTGCGGAGCAGGAGCAGGAACCCTGGCTGTAAGGGGTTGTGGTGATGGCTGGAATGGTTCAGGCATGTTAGCGCAAAACCACAGTTGTTTGCTCTGTGGTAGCAGATAATGACTGCCTGTTTGTAGAGAATTAACCTTGTGTCATCTCTAGCCTCTTCCTGTGTTTTGTTCCCATCTATAAAATGAGATGATGATCACCCTTGGTTAAGAATGTTTTAAGA